GCTCACTAAATGTGGAACACTTGAGGGAAAAAACTCGCTTTAAAACACTTTAAATTGGCTGGCAATACGCAAATTTAAAGCTAAAAGCAAACAACTTAAACCAAGCTTTTGATTGAAGGCGGTTGACCCAGATCCCATACGCATTTACAATGTATATATTACAGTACTCAGCTCGGTAATGGATGAGATGGCAGATCTGCGCTTATAGACCGGTGTGTATACCACCACGGCATTCGATGCGAATGCCGCGGGCCTGTATCCACATATCAGCAGCATAGTACCACATGAACTTCATATGGCCAGGCGCCGGGCAGTGTGAACTCCGCGTGTAGGCTCATGTATATCTCTACAAGCCGCTACCGACCTGAACTGTATCTAGATGGATGTGTTTTAATAAAGATGGTATCGGGCCCATTCAGATACAGACTGACACCATTTAATCTAGGGGATGCTTGTACAGACAATGAACATACTGCTAGGAGCTGATAGCATGTAAACGTTGGGACCAGGGGGAGGGGGAGGACTGGTTTAACTGCTTTTCAGTATAGATAAGAGGAAACGTTACACTCCAAGCAGGATGTACATTCTCGTGTATGGACATTCCCTATACATTGTTCTGTGGGAGGGGATTGACCTGACCCCCATGCAGGGGGGCGTGTGTTTTTTTTGTAAAAGAATAAAAGAGTCTGGGGTTAGAGCCGGACAGAGTGAATTCCAACTCCAACCTGAGAGTGTCATCTGATTATTCCTGGGTCACGGGAGCTCCATTTTTTCATACATCTCAAAAGAGCTAAAAACCTTTGCATACTGGTTGGAAGCGCAGGAATCGTAGAGCTAAGCTGCAGTCGCGGTAAGTGGAGGGCGTAATACGGCTGCAGCAAAATTAGCACAGCTTTATGGGGTATTGCTGCACATCCAACTGCGGGTACTCACGGTAAGGAAAAAATTAATTGAAAGCGAATTTCCAAGACAGATGTACCTGTGCATCAGGGTATCCACGCACAATGGCAATGACCTCTTCAGAACTGTTCCCTTGTGAATCATAAATAAGTCTTTTAGAGTGGCAAATCAGTCTCTGGACCCTCTTTGATATAGGTTCAGATGTGTCCTGGGTGGAGGACGACTCATTTTTGGCTTCAAGGGATGAAGGGGAGGGTACTTCAATCTCTTTGATTCATTGGCATCTCTTCCTGTTTTTTACCCCATGGCAAACTCATGGGCATCAGGGCTGAGAGTCCCTGAACAGTTCTGTGGTGCACATGAACAGGGTGACATCTGTAGACTCATATTGGCTCAGCTATCTCATGTGAAAATCTTCCTCACAGTCATCATCTTCCTCCTCAAGGAAGCGTTTATGTGATTGGGTCACTGGAGCTCATGTAGCGGTAAACTAGTAAAAAAAAAAAAAAATGACTGTCGGTGTTGCCAAAGCTTCACTCAAAGGCAAGAGGTGGTTTAAGACCTTGTCTTCCCTTCTGGGTGAATCTGGTGTACAGGAAGAGCAAGTCATTGATTGCAGACAATGTAGTACTGGGAACTCCATTTGCCAACTAGCTTATAGTTTCTGGGAGACCCAGGTTCCTCCTTAGCACCCTGTAACCAAGTTGGTGATTATGGACTTGAATTCTCAAGTTGTAGTTCTTTTCAGAACTATTGCTTGAGCCTTCCCATATGCAGATTTTTCCTGAGCCAGTCCACATTACCTTTGTGGGTCACAGCTAACATCCAGTCAACAGAGATACTGAAGGCCAGGCATTCTGGTGGTCAGGTCTCTCTCTCAAACATGAGCATATAAGGAGATTACCTAGTCACATTATTTTTTTACTGTTGTAGGCATGAACAATCACTTAGATGTATCTGCTCAAATACTGAATTTTGTCTGTCACGAGAGTCCCAAGCATGTTAACTTGGGTGCAATTAAACTTCTCAGACTGTGGGTAAGCTTGTAGATAAGTGTAAGTGAATTCAGAATCCCCAACATGTCCAGTAACTGCTTAATGAGTCTGTTTTCAAAGTCTTGGCCTTGGTCTGAATGAATCTTTAGAGGCATTCCATAATAGACAAAGAACCTCTTAACCAGGACTGTGGCATTAGTTCAATCTCTTTTGTCTTTCATTGGGAAACCCTAAGCATAACAGGCAATGTGGTCAATCACCACAAGGATGTTCCTTTGTCCACTCATATTCAAGCACAGGAAATCAACTTCATGGGACCTTGGCATTGGATTCTTCCTCTGTATGCATAGAAGATATGTATGGCATTAGCTCTTCAATCCTCATACAGGGTCTGTAGAACTGATCTCCTGATCAGTTTGAAGGTTCTTTCTGGTCCTGGGTCACCCTGCTCATTATTTAAGGCTATTAATGTGGTACCCCTATGCTTCTCAGAGGGAAACAGCTGCCAGTTGTCTTTGGATTAGCCTGTGGGGGCCATTCAGTAGATCAACCCATCACAAAGCTGTAATCAATCTGGTCCTTCCTGGAGAATCTGTCAACAGACGTTCTGAGCAGTGATTCTAACAAAAGAGGGTCTTTTACTTGGTCCTTTCTCAGGTACTTTTTATTAAGAGTAGGCAGACCTCTATCTCTCACTTAAATTGGATGGTAGTATAGCTTTGGAATGCCTGCAGAGGTGACGCCAATGACTTTGGCCTCGTCACAGGGCTTGGATTCCCTTCTGCATCAGTCGAGTGCATACCTCGTCAGAGGCTTCAGTATTTTATGGTCTTCTGAATAGATTGTTAGCATCTCTGTTTCCAGCTCCCTGTCAATATTTCAGACTGAAGTAAAATCCAAACAGAGCAGCTAACCACTGATGTCCCATGGTGTCTAACTTGGCAGGTTATAAGGATGTGTGTGAGCACACTGTTATCGGTCTTGATGTAGAATTCTGATCCATACAGTACAGGTAGTCTTTGAACTTGTCTGTAACAGCCAATTTAAGAGCCATGAATTCTGACTTGTCAGTGGGGTAATTCTTCTTAGCAGGGGTGAGACATTGGCTCACACAGGTGACAGGCCGCAAGTATTTTGTCATGTTCTTGATACTCTGCCAAGCCCCCTCTCCTTGCATTCACATGCAGTTTGAGAGGCTGAGCAGGATCAGCTTACGGGGGTGTGAGTCATGCTCCACTTTAGCTGATGGAAAGCCTGCTCACATCATGTCGGACCAATCTTCTTGCATTGGATATCGTAGCTTTTGAGGTACTTTTCCTTGAGAAGTCAAGTCTGGTAGCTTTGAACAATCCTCCTCTTCGTCATTCCTCAGTAGCTTATTAAGATGTCAAGCTATCTTGATGAACCCATTTTCAAATCTTCTGTAACTTTCACAGAAGAAGAAATCAATCATTGAATATGTTTTAGCAGAAGATGACAGCATGGATTTGAGGTGTAGAAGAGGCGCAGTAGCTTTTGACAATAAAATAAAGAGGCACAGTGGGCCAGTGATCATCATTGTGTTTATTGTCATTACAGTACTGGTGTCAATTTCTAGGGAAGGGGGGGAGGTGCAGAGTCCGCTTTAAGCATTCTCCATACCCCTATTTATGAAATACTATACCAAACCAACTTTTCCCTAGTCTCTTCCACAAACCCATAACTTGTCACTTCATTTCAACATCTCTTGGCTCATGAGACCGAATGCCATCAATAATATGCATTATCTCTAAAAATTACTTTACCATTTTAGGTTCCTCCCAGTAACCATCCCTACTTATACATTTCACTCTGTCGAAAATAAAGTATTACATTTCATTTGGAGACACATGGCCCAGAGTGAACTAATCCACCTATTGTGGCATAAAGGGCAAGGTAGACTAGGAATACTAGTCAAAGCTGAATATGATAAAGCTGCCAATATAGTTCCCTTAGTCCTATTTCATACACATAAGGAACTCCCAAATATGGACATCACTTGACATTGTGGACTGTGACCTAGTTAAAATTTCTTCTCTAATTTGTAGCCCACCTAACTGCAGGCCGAAAAAGTTAAACCCTATCTTGCTTCAGATGTTTGAAAGTATGGGGCTCTGATCTTCCCCCACTTCCTCGGTGAGAACCAAGATTCATAGACTCTAATGCTTTCACATCATGAGCTATGAAGGGATTGAAGTCCACTCATTATTAACTCTTATTGGTAACATTTCCCATTCTTCAAGAATGTTGTTGATATTACACCAAGCAAAATGTTTTGTTATACCCAACTGGAATGCTACATCTCCGTTAACATGGTTCACACTTGATACCCCTTTCAAGACTAGATATCACAAAGACACACACGCATCAAGACTCCTATCCTGCTATGCTCCTTAATGCAATCAAGCAAAGTTCTTCCAAATACAAATATTGGTGAAATAGGAAGACGATCCAGGGAAAACGTTATCTCACTCTATCCCTTTTTAAATATAGGCTCCATGTTGGCCTACCACCAATCCAGTGATGCCACATCAATCACTGAAGAGTTTAAAAAAATTGTAAACAATGATTTTCAAGTAAGCTAATTCTTTGAGGATAGGGGGTATAAGTCATCTGGTCCATTATAGACTTGAGCTCCCCATTTTGCTTTGTATAAGAAGGTATTTAATACATTTGGCTTTCTCATTGTTCCCAGTCACCAACTCTAAATTATCTTGTATAGGGCCTACATGCTCAGACCTGACCTGTTTACTATTATTATATTCGAAGAGTAGGACAAAGCCCCAAAATTTCTTCAATTTGAATTTTTGTGGCCTTGGTTTAATTTTTACATATTCTATTATATTCTTTGTAACTTTTAAATGATGATAGCTTTTCTTCATTTTTATAAATGCCCTTTTCTTATTGTTTATAACTTAACTTTGGACGTGAGCAACCTAGGTTTTATTTTTAGCCCTTTAAACCTATTGTCCAATAGCAGTCTACTGCTCTAGAGTCCAGTGGCGGCATGCTTTACCACTAAATGCTTTGCATTGCACTTGTTAATGTAAGGCTTGGATGCAGCTGTTCAGCCATGGAAACCGATGCCATGAAGCTCTCTATGCACTGTTGTAGTGCTAATCAGAGAGTACATGAAGTTTGGAGGGCTTTAGTTTATCAACTCTGCAGACAGGTAGCAACTTCTGCACACTTCAGCATGCACTGACCCTGATCTGTCATTTTATGTGGCCTACCACTTCATGGCTGAGTTCTTGTTGTTCCCAGTTGCTTCCATTTTGTTCAATTTTGTTACAATACCACTAACAGTTGACCGTGGAATATTTAGTAGCAAGGAAATTTCATTGCTGGACTTATTGCACAGGTGGCAACCTATCACGGTACCACACTTAAATTCACTAAGCTCCTGAGAGCGACCCATTCTTTCACAAATGTTTGTAGAAGCAGTCTGAATGCCCAACTGCTTCATTTTATATACCATGGATGTGATTGAAACAGCTGAATCCAATGAATCATTTGTAATGTTGTTATTTCTGGAAATCTGCTGAGCATCACTTTCCACAACTTTCTAGATTCCTTGATCGTTTGTAGCTTTCCATTGCTGTTTACTTTCATTTGCTAAGAACTACATATCCCATGATACTTTTGCTGCCTGTAGTAATCCTGTAGTGACTGTAGCTCCTGAAACTACCACTCTCAGCATCTCTGTAGCTCAGAAGACAGGCTCTGAGAGTTCCATGATACAACAGTGCCTACTCATAGGGCATAGTAAATATTTGTCATTGAATTTAAGGAAGTAGATGTGTGGGGATCTTCAAAAGTAAGTCTACAAAGTTCAAGATAAGCTTAATAGGAGTAGGTTAGGAAGAATTGAAATACAAAAAGAAAATTAATATACGAGTTTACATTTTGACCATAGATACACTTTAAAGCAGAGTTCCACCAAAAAGTGGAAGTTCTGCTTGTTTGCCCCCTCCATTGCCATATTTGGCACCTTTTGGGGGGAACGGATACCTGGCTTTGACAGGTACCTGTTCCCACTTCTAGCTCAGTTCACTGTGGCGAAGTGAGCCAGAAGTTCGGTCCACCTCTTTCCTCCCACAGTCTCCTGTGAACCTTCACAGGTCTCAGAAGATTGCTGGACCAATCCGAATGTGCAGCATGACTCGCGCATGCCAAGTGGGCATCCAGCTGTGAAGCCGCAAGCTGTCACAGATGCCGGTGCCAACCGGAGAAGAGGGATAGAAGAGACGGTGCAGGTGAGCATATCACTGAACCCAGGGACAGGCGAGTGATAAACATTCTCCCAGCAAGTACCCAGTGCTGGAATACCATTTAGAGATGTTTAACGTTTCCAGCTGCAGCACTCTTTGGAAAACCTTCTGATCTCCACAACGTAGCTGCAGACTGCTGAACTGTTTTAGTCCTTTTCTTACCATCACCTTTATGGCCGTGCAGGCTAAAGATAGAAACAAATCTGTGAACATGGGTTTTTTTCATGTGTTCTGCAGCCTGTTTAGTAGAATGTAGAAGTAATCTGTGTGAAGGAAGGCTAAGGATACAGATCAGACTAGAGGAGGCCAGCGACATCTATTCCTGACTTTCCCGTGCTGAGACTAAACCTGGAAGTACTTCTGGGTTGGAGCTGTCAAACTCCCAGCACAGATGTCAAGTGCAGAATCAGATTGTGGCTCTCTGTCCTAATCTGCTTTGGCTAGTGACCAAGGTGTGCCTTAAGGTAGCCTACATTTCTCCAAGTCATGTATACTATACCTTTTTGGCTTTTGTTTTCTCAAGTATCAGTAAGAACAGATATGGAAGGGGGAAAGGAAGACAGCAGGGAGAGACTGTGCAGAAAAAAGAGAGGCAGTAGAGATTGGAGGGGGTGCAAAAAAGTAGGGGATCATACTGTGTAGTGGGGAAACAAGTCAGCAACACAACTGGATAGTGAAGGCAGTGTGATAAATATATTTAGAGAGATAGAGAAATTAGACAGGGGAAAAGGAGCAATACGTCACTAGATTGTGGAGCGGTAGTGTAAACACAGTGTTACTGGATTATGGAGAAGTAAAGGAAGTAAAGGAAGGCATGACACTTGGATTAGAAAAAATGTGGAGAAAAAAAAAGGTTGATAGACTAGAGTGTCTATGACCTAGGGGCAAAGATAAGGAGGGAATAGTGGGGGTCCAGCCCTCCTGCTATGCTGCTTAACCACTTCAAGTCCGGACACTTTAAACCCCTTCCTGTCCAGGCCAATTTTCAGCTTTCAGTGCGATCACAATTTGAATGACAATTGTGCGGTCATGCAACACTGTACCCATATGAATTTTTTAGCATTCTTTTGAGACAGATAAAGCTTTATTTTGGTGGTATTTATTCACCACTGGGATTTTTTTTTTTTTGCTATGTAAATAAAAAAGTCCAAAAATTTTGAAAAAGTGTTTTTCTTATAAAATTTTGCAAATAAATAATATTTCATCATAAATCTTGGCCAAAATCTTTTTAGTTAAAAAAAAAAAAAAAATAACCCAAATTAGTTTATAACCAAAAATTTTAATTTTTAAACATTTTTTCTTTTTCTTTATATTATTATTTATGGGTTTTTTTTTTTTTTTTTTACATACTTTCACCCTAGCAGTACAGTGTCACCATGGTGACACTGTACTACTTGTGGGGGGTGATGAAGATTTTTTTTTTTTTTTTTTTACACAGATTGCTTTTACACCCATGAAGGCTGTACAAGCAATTATTTCTCCTCCTCTCTGGCTGCATTCTTACAGCTATCGAGAAACTACTGTGTGAGCTGTGATTGGTCACAGCTTGTCACATGGTACAAGGCTGTTGTGAATAGCCTTGTACCATGTGACCTCTGTGATCATTCACAGATTTCACACATAGTAAGCAATGATGTCAGAAGTGACATCTTGCTTACTACTCTGCATGTGATCACTGATTGGCCAATCAGTGATCACATGATCGGGACCTTGCACAGAGGTCCTGTATGACAATCGGTGTTCCACTGTGTCCGGAGGACACAGCGGGCACCAGATCGCGGTGCTGCGTGCACAAGCAGGTGGCGGGGAGGCTGTTTATAAACGGCCACCCGACCCTGCACTGCCTCCATCCAGCTGTTTATATACAAAGGCCCGGACGGGGAGGTGGTTAAGTCCCACCCACCTCTGCACTCCACTTCTTCTTGAACCTTTCCTGGCAACCTGGACTGTGAGCTGGAACCTAGGCACCACCTGAGCCTGAGCATCGTTCTGATGCACAAACTTCCTGTCAAACAGTCTCTGGTATCATAAGGCTTAACTATGTCTGCCCTAATTCATCTAGCCAGCAGCAGACCCCACAATATGGTGCCCTTTGCAATACTCAGGTTGCACAGTAAAGTTGTCTATTTTCGAGTCCTAAGCTGCATTTGCACAAGTGTTTAACCATGCCATAAATCCCAGCAGCAAGAATGTACTGATTACTGCAACTGGGATTGACAGTTGAGTGTGGATAGCCGTGGCTGCCGAGCCTGCACAATGTAATGACAGGCTGTCAGCAGCTGAAGCTATTCATGACTGTTCATACAGTTAGTGATTACTAACAGTGTTGATGCCGATGCAAAGCATTTGCATGAGTACTCCGATACCTGAAACCAATACCTTTGCATTGTTCTTTGAGCTCAAACGGATGGTTCAAATTGCATTGCAAATCGCACTGCACCCACAGGAAAACCGCATGAAATTGGGACAGGAATTGCACCACATTCCTGTTGAATTCACATGCAATTCTATGCAATGTGATTTGAGCCCATTCATTTTATATGGGCTCAAATTGCACCGCAAAGGTATCAGTAACTGGTATCTGCGAGTACTTGAGCACAAGTATCAGTATTCGTACTCACCGATAGAAAAACAGTATCATTGCAACCCTAGTGATTAGCTGTGGTGATCTTGGCTGGATGCAAAGTACTTTGACAGATGGGGACTAGCATCTCAGCTTAACCATGTAGTGTCATTGGTTGACACCAGGCTGTTGGCTGCGAAGCGGACATCAATCTCAACAACCAATGACAGCTGGGGAGGGGAAGAGGTAGCAGAAGCATATATATATCCCTCCTAGATTGTAATCTCCCTCCTAGATTGTAAGCTCCAAAGAGCAGGGCCCTCAATCCCCTCATGTTTTGCATTGTATTGGTATTGTTCTGTCACATGTTCTGTCCCCCTTTGTAATGTACAGCGCTGAGCGAACTATTGGCGCTTTATAAATACTGTATAATAATAATAATAATATGCTACACAGTGAACAGAAAGAGGTACTCTGCCGGTTTCTGGACACCAAATTATAGTTGGTCTTAATTGCCTCTGTTTTCATTAGCTACAAATGAATATTAAGAGTTATCTGGATCTGCCAAACAGTACTTGTCAGTACGACCCATTTCATACGGGCGTTCAGTCAAGATCCAGACTGAGCCACAATGTATGTCTATGGGTGGGCAGATGTAAACGGATGATCATTCCTTTACATCCGCCTACATCCGTGTCCGTTCAGGTCCATTTTTTTAAACAAAACAGGCAATGTCCAGATCTGTTGAAACGGAATGAATGTAGACTGATTTAATTTGATGTAAACTGAACAGATATAAACTGATGTAATTAAACTGAATTAACCTCTTCCATACCAGGCACTTTTACCCCCTTCCTGCCCAGGCCAATTTTCAGGTTTCAGCGCTCTCACACTTTGAATGACAATTGCGCGGTCATACAACATTGTACCCAAACTAAAATTTTATAAATTTCTTCACATAACTAGAGCTTTCTTTTGGTAGTATTTAATCACCACTGGGGTTTTTATTTTTTGCTAAATTAACAAAAAAAGACCAAAAATCTTGAAAAAAAAAAACCCACGTTTTTCTTTGTTTCTGTTATTAACAAATAAATAATTGTTCTTTATGAATTTAGGCCAAGATGTATTCTGCTACATGTCTTTGGTGAAAATAACCCAAATTAGGATGTATTTTTTAGTTTGTAGGAAAGTTATAGAGTTCACAAACTATGGGATATATCTGAATATTGATCAATCCTGAAGTACTGTCAATCTACTGTCAAACTGTCAAGTACGGCCAATCTAATTTTTTGAGGTCCAAGAATGTCAGAACAGTACAGATATCCTCCAAATGACCCCTCTTGCAGAGTAGACAGTCTGGCATACTTCATAAGAGGCATGGCGAGTTTTTTGAAGTTGTATTTTTTTTGTCATAATTTTTCGTAAAATGAAAAAATTTAAAAAATAATTTTCACTATTTTTTTTACATACTGTCACAAGTACAGTACAGCGTCATCATATAACTGGCATGGTGGTGATCAAGGTCACTGACTGGTGACAGTATGAAAAAAAAATTTAAAAAAAATTATTTTACATTTTTTTTATTTTTAATTAAACTTTTTTTCTTTTTTTTTAAGATTCTTTTTTCATATTTCACTATGACCAAAGTAGTACAATGTTACCATAGTAACATTGTACTACTGTGGGGAAGTGATCAGTATTTTTTTTTTTTTTTTTTTTTACACAATTTGCCTATAACAAAGAATTACTTTGCTGTAAGCAAGCATTTACCTGAATGACCGATTCTTTCAGGTGTTTTTTTTTGTGCTTAGGTGTGATTTGGCCATGGCTAATCACACGACACAGCTGGGCTATGATTGGCCCAGCTTGTGCATGTGATCGCTGTGATCATTCACAGCTAGACACACTAATATACAATGGATGGCATGAATGAAGCCATCCATTGTATACAACTGTCATGTGACCTGCTGTGATTGGTCACAGCAGGTCACGTGGTACCGGCAACGGTGCCGGTACTCAGATCTGTCATCGGCCGTTTCTGAGGTACACGGTCGGTGACAGATCGCGCGCCGCTGCGCGGCTCTGCAGGCGCGCAAACCTGAAAGGACGCCATATGGCGTCCACCCGGAACGGTGAGTGTTTTTGCCGCCTGCCATTCGGCCATAGGCTGGGCGGAAAGAGATTAAACTGATATAAACTGATCTGAACTGAAGTGTAAACTGAGGTAAACTGAACTGAAAATGGATGTGTAAACTGAATCCATTTTGTCTTTGAAAAATGTGACTGAACGGATGATGCCTGTGTGAAAGGGACCTAAAACTACTGAAATAGGTTGCACTGTAGGGGAGGAGATAGCGGCAGCAGATATGCTGCTCTGCCTGTTTCTGAACACCAACTTAAAGTTGGACTTAATTACCTCCAGTTTCATTACCTACAAATTAAACCGGTTGCCGACCAGCCTCAGTACATACACTGCGGCAGGGTAGCACCACTGTGCAAAATCACGTATATATACACATGATTTTGCATTTCGAGTAGGCGGAGCGAGTGAAGCACACAACAGCTCTACCCTCACCGCTGATCATGGCCGCAGGTGTCAATCACCGGGTCCCAACAGGTGATTACCTGCCGGAGATTACCTGCAAACACTGACAGGGAGGACGGCTGCAGTGTTTACACTGCAGATCTCCTCCCTGTCAATTTGAGCACAGCTTTCCAAATCAGTGTGTTACTGTGAAGGACACCCCTCTGCCCCCTAGTGAAACACTCCCCTCACACAGTTAACCCTTTGATTGCCTCCAAATGAAAACCCCTTCCTCCCCAGTGTCATTAGTAGTGTCAGTGGTTTTTGTTTTTGCACTGATCACTGTATTGGTGTCACTGGGGATGTCAGTGACCTCAAGCCAGTTCCCCCCAGTGTCAGAATGTCCACCACAGTCCCACCATAAGTCACTGATCGCCGCCATTATTAGTATAAAAAGAAATTTCAATATATACTGCCATTTGTAGACTCTATAACTGTCACGTAAACCAATTAGTTTACACGTATTGTAATTTTTTTTTAGCAAAGACATGCAGCAGAATACATTTTGGCCTAAATTTATGATGAAATTTGATTTTTAAATTTTTTTCACTGGACATGTTTTATAGCAAAAAGTCCAAAATATTGTTTTTTTTTTTCCTCCAAATTGTCGGTCTTTTTTTTATTGTGCAAAACAAAAAACGCACAGGCAATCAAATACCACCAAAAGAAGGACAATACACAATAAACCTCCATTGCTAGTATAGTGTCTGAATGGATCAATATCTGATCAGATCAGCACTATACCAGCATTCACATTAGTATAGTGTCCCCAAAAATGCAGCGTTAGTGGGATCAGCCCCGGCACCTGCCAGCACCTGTGTCTAGCCCTATGCTTACCCCACCTCCTTCTCCCCCAGCAAGTGCAGCGTCAGTAGGTCACTGTCACTTGGTACATTGCACACAAAACCGCAGTGTTCGTAGAATCAGGCCTGATCTCTGTTAGCACTTGCCAGTAAATTTTGATGACTCACATATGCAGCAGAGTGCCAGTATTAGTGCCGCGCTACCTATTAGTGAACTGGTGAGCACCAGTGGCCTAGTACATCCTGGTCATTCACATACCAGCACTGCAGTATCTCTTGGCCACGTGGTGAGTCCCATAAGTGCAGTACAAGCTGGTGCGGGGGTAAGCATATGTATTGTCCTGCAACCACCAAGAATTCGCACACAGGACCATAGAGCCCCTAGTATCCTTCTGGATGCTTGCAAATCCCGATTGGCAGCCCACAAATTCTGCAGCACCCGTACTTCGCTTATTCACTGCCCAACCTGAAATTCAGGTGGAAACAGCAAATTTAACTACTCCCCTTGATTTTTTGTTGCTGTTTTTCACGGACTATCTGTATGTGTCGATTGTGGATCAAAGCAATTTATATGAACAGTTTATTGCCGCCAACCCAAATTCAAACCTTGCCAGACCATTTGCATGGAAACCCAGTATGGTTTCCGAATTTACATTTTTTTTTAGCCAAACCCTCAACATGGGCATTACTGAAAAAATGAAATGCGGTTGTATTGGTCCACAGACCCGATTCATCATATGCCCGTGTTCTCTGCTGCCATGGCCAGGCATAGATATGAGAGTATAATGTGTTTTATGCATTTCAACGACAATACACTGTCATCCTCGAGCTGACCCTGAATTTTACCGGCTCCACAAAATTCAGCCCCTCGTAAATCACCTTATCCATAAAATTTGCAGATGTCTATACTCCCCAACAAAAAATCTGAGTTGATAAGTCTCTCAATTTTTCTGGCCGCCTTGCATTCAAACAATTTCTCCCCAGCAAGGGTGCTAGACATGGAGTCAAGATGTATAAGACCTGTGAGAGGGCAACAGGCTATACATATAAGTTTCCAATTTACGAGGAAAAAAAAAAAGTCACGTAGAGAGCCCCCCGAATGCCCAGAATACATGGGGAGTAGTGGCAAGATAGTTTGGGACTTAGTGTCATCCTTTTTCCATACGGGGTACCACTTATACACGGACAATTTTTATTCAAGCGTAAATAATAAATGTGGTGAAGCCCTAAACAATATATGAAGATTAATATAAACAATTTAACTTAAATAATGATCACCAACTAAAGTGCTCTGATCCAATCAGGATCCAAATGGTGAAATATACACGTGAAAACTCGTGAAAATACAGGAGTCTTCCTGTTTCAATACACACTCTGTGAATAACTCAATAATTATTTATAAAAATAACCCCCCTGTCCCTAGTGGTGGGACGAATTCAAAATAAAAAAATAGAGGTGTAAAAAGTGAACCCCTATCAGGGGAAAAACAATCAAATATGGCGATTAGTGCCAACCATAATTAAATACACATACCCACTCTCAAAGGCAACCACATATAAGGTTATAAAATATCTCAAATCCAAATCAATCAATCCACAAATAATGTCCAATAAACAGAAAACATATAGCCGAGATGTTCAAACACAATTCATGCAGGTGATGAGGTGAATAGGTGACCTCCACACTTGTGAAATATCCTCAAATAGCAGAAATGCCCCCTCACCTCCAAACCATGACCACAAGGGCCAGCTCACTTTATATGATCACCCCACGATACTTGTAGATATTATCTTGTCACAGGAGAAAGATGCCGCATGAAATCCCTTCAGCAATACCACTTACTCCCCTCATGTTCCCTCCAGGCACAGGTACCGCAATACAACATCACTCCCCACTCAAAATCATATTAGTAAAAATGAAAGAGATCCTCCATGGTGTAGGAACGTTTTTTAATCCACAGAACAAATAAAAATGCCAATTGCCCACTCACATTTGCTCCATAGGTAAACAGCATCTAAACCTCATGCTATGGGTGTACTACATGGGTTTTGTTGGGTGTACCAAAATGGCGCCCACACCCAGAAGTGCATCACCACGTCACCGGAAACGCGTCACTGCGTACCAACGCGTTGCATCACGTTGCCATGTGACTTCATCAGGGTATACGCCCATAGTGACGAGTGATTGAATTTATTGAAGGCTGGGTGTCAATCATGTTCTGGAGGCGGACCTCCAGTGGCCATTTTACTGAAGCCCGATGCTCACTATATCTCTCTACTAGATATCCGTGAATGGTGGTGACTAAAGCCGCATCTAATCCCCGATACCCAATAGAAACCTTATACATAATCAGTATTATACAGCTATATAGAGGAAAACTATCCTTTATTATTAGCGATCATTATGGGGGCTACTTGTAGAAACATTCCAATGAGAAAAATACATTTAAAATTAAATACACATTAAAAAAATACCAGTGGACATAATATTGTAGTCCTTCTACATACTACACTACAGCACTACATACTACAATCAAATACCTTTATTAATTAGTTAAAAACCCTTAACCTATAAAATCCTATTTAAATTCTCGAGGGATATATATTATTGGAAGAATTAAAAATATATCAAAAAATATATAAGATAAATATATATAAACCCTAAATTTATATAAAAATATTATATATAAAAAAAATATGAATGAACCCACTTATAAATAATATAATTATATAAAAGTGAAATAAACCTCCTCCATGCAGGCACACCTATACCATACGTTTACATAATTCACAATCCATAAATTAAAATATACATATATCAGCAACATTAAAATAATAAAATAAATATATAAATCTCACTCAATAATTAACACATATGGTTAAAACCAGAATAAAATAAGGACCCATCAAATATCCTAAAATCAGTAAATATAAAAATACCCTAAAATCTATATACATCCTTCAATAACAGCCAGGTGGAACTCCACTATATACTGGTAAAAAGAAGCAACTGGTAACATCCTCCATTAAAAATCACTTATAAAACAGTTTAGGTCGAAATCTACATTAAGGTCTCTAGGCACCTGCGTATGCATCGTATATATGCATTTAGATTCCGCCTGACTCAGGGAACGTATTTTATTACTTCCCCTCCAATGACTTTTGTATTATTCAATTCCCCAAAACCTCAATGAAGAGGGGTCTTTATTGTGATGAAAGGAAAAATGCCTCGACACTATGTTTTGGAACCCCTTTTTTGATATTTTGTACGTGTTCACGGAACCGTTTCCACAGTGGTCTCATAGTTCTCCCTACATACTGTAGGCCGCATTTGCATTCTAGTCCATAGACCACCCCTTTGGTCCTACATAAGATGAAGTCTCTGATTTTAAATTCTGCCATAAAGGTATTCCGTTTGATTCTGTCCCCTAGTCTCTCTGCAGGCATAACATGTTTTGCACGGGAAGAAACCCGTTTGATCTACAAATGTTACCTTTTTTTTTTTTAATGGGTGGATCTAATACATTTCTAACTATTTTAGTCCGTAAGGAAGGTGCTCTCCTATAAATGAATTTGGGAGGATGTTCTGATAATAAATTATTTAAAATGGGGACTGATTTCAAAATTGGCCAGTGTTTCCTAAAAACCTTTTCTACTCTTTTATAATGTATATTAAAATCTAAAACAATGGCCACTTGGTTAGCAAACTCGTCTTCCCTATTCTTATCCTTCAGAAGTGACGTCCTCCCTAAATTACCAACTTCTAATATCTTCCTTGTATTTTTTTCTTGTGGGTATCCTTTATTGGTAAATCTTTCACCAATGATTTTCCCCTGCTCCATATAATCTTCTAATGTACAATTTCTCTTTAGCCTGACAAATTGTCCCTTGGAAATATTTAACAACCAGGGTGGGTAATGACAACTATCAAGAGGTATATACCCTTAAAAAATGTTTTAGTAATAATTTTATCCCTCTCAATCCTGATATTTAAATCTAAAAAATGAATATGCTCCTTATTGTATTCCCATGAAAATCTGATGTTTCTGGTGTTATTATTCAGTTTATTAAGGAAACCAAGTAAGGAATCCAAGTTCCCTTCCCATAAAATAAATACATCATCGATGTATCTCTTGTACAATAATAATTCCTCCGGAGGATGTTGGTAGACCATTTCCTCTTCCCAATACGCCATGAACAGATTTGCGACACCGGGAGCAAATCTTGCTCCCATCGCTACACCTTTTACTTGCTGGTAAAATGTTTTATTGTGCCAAAAATAATTGTGCGTGAGGCAGAAATTTAAACGATCAAGTACATATTTCCTTTGGGA